CCCCGCTTCTGAGCACAAGAAAAACACTTTGCAGAAAGAGCCCCCTCGCCAATTCCCAGGTCCTGTCTGGGGTCTCCTGCCCCTATTACTTCCGCGGTACCCAGAAGGGGCTTCCAAAATGCATGTGCTCCCCTGTCCTTTCCAACACATGCGGCAGACGGCACTTTGGGTAACTTTTCAAATCCTGTCTCCAGAACACTTGCCCACAGATATTTGGGAGAGAGAGGGGGACGCCCCCGTACTCCCTCCACCACCTCCACTTCTGACCGCCACCCCACTCTCAGGCTGACAGCTTGGGAGAAAGAAACCAGACTGTCACTCCAGCTGTTGGTGCCCGTCAGGGAATAGGCACACCGTCTCGGAGAGCGCCAAGCCACCCAGACAGCGAGAACGAGCCGAGGCGCCCTCTCCGGGCACCAAACACGGTCCCAGCACCGGCGAGCCGGCCTCTGCAGGAGCCCTGCGCGCGAGCGCGGGCAAGGACTCGGACCCGAGCGGCGTGAATCCAAAACCATGCAGAGCAGCTCACCTTTAGGCTGTGCGTGGGGTTTACGACGCAGACAAGTTGCCCAGCGGCGGAGAAAACGCGTTTAGCCTTGTAGTGCTGAAAGCGCAGGTGAATCAGATCTAACACAGCCCCAAAGCACTGGGTGAAGAAAAGCATCACAACTTTTGAGGGGTCGTTGGCACAGGAAGGCCGCGCAGGCGGCTGTAAGTCCTTGGGCTGAGGAAGCAGCGCAGCCGCTGAGACGCTCGGCTCCAGCCCGGCTTAGCGTGCCTTCATATTCATCATCAAAATAAGACGGTTAGAATCTTGCGGCAGTGAGGAGGCCAATCAAAAGGACAGAAATGTTATCCTTGAGGTACAGAGACAGCCAATAACAAATGCCTCCCCGACTGGAACTCCCTGATGAATTGAGCCTGGCGGAGAACGTATTATTGGACATTACCATAGATCAGCACATAGCATTTATCTTGTGATTACAGCCAGCCATACATAATGCTGGGGAGAGAGGCTGACAAAATTGATTGCTTAATGTGTCTCCATTTATTAATTGACTTAATTTAACACGAGAGCCTTTCTTAATGCGCTGGCAAAAACGTACACCGTTTAAACCGCCAAACCATACAGCAGCCGGCTCCAAAGTAGGCAGATGGATAGCGCAGATCGTGGCGCGACTCACCAGAGCTGCTTGGGAGAAAATCAAATATTACAAGATTCTTCTGATTCCAGATAAGGACTTGGCAGGAGGAGAAACGTGCATCTTTCAATCTTGCGATCGCGTTCTCTGCAATTTGGATTTCAGCCCCTTGATAAATCTTACTCGCCACTCTTTATATATATATATATATAAAAAATGAATCCCAGACAAGGAAAATATATATATATATATATATATATATATATATATATATATATATATATATATATGCTCCATACTACTGTAATTACTGAAGCCTGCAAATATTAAAGCACAAAATACCCTGAGTATGCTTCTGAAAATAATGAAATCCCGGATGCATGAATGCACACAGAAAAAAAACCTACACAGAGAGGAAAGTGGCTTGTAAATCCGAGAAATAATTACAGATGCCGAGGGCCTTTGCCTGTCATTCATTTGCATATTGGTGGGCAGCAAATTGCTAATTAACCGCGAGATCGTTGGAGACAGTAAAACAGAGCGTGAGCACACACATGCCACATCACTAGCTCGTCTCTGCCAATGCCAGCAGCCCGTTTTTGTGCTGGAGCAGGCAGAGGGCATTCCAGTCCGCACACGGCAGCCCCTCCCTCCTGCCCCCTCCAGAATGGGGCCGGCGGGAGCGCTAAGCCCACCCACAGGTTCCGGAAGAAAGGCTGCTGAACAGCCCGGGGAGCCTTCGGGCTTCTGGGGCTAGTCCGCCTTTGTGACTAAAGCAGGAGGACTGAGGGCGTTGTGTTGTGTCTCCCTCTTCTTTGGTTGTTTGGCTACTGAGTAGTCTGCCCAGATCCCGGGCGTCTGGGCGAGCGCGGGCCGTGCACGTGTGAATTGCACCCAGAGTTGTGCGCCCATTGCTCCTTCTCGAATGGCTCTCATTCTGCTCTGGCTGCAGTGCCAGGGCTGTGAGGTATGATTGTACACACATTGGGGACACCTATGTCTGTGACCTGGTCAGCCAAGTAAACCAACAGATTAAAAGAGGGAAAAAAGTGGAACGGGTTTACTGAAAACCAAGACAAAGCCCAGGTGGTCGTTTTCATTTGAATTTAAAACCAGACCAACGTTTTAAGAGACAAATAAGCCAAACACCAATAAAATGGAAGCTTTGTACTTTCCAAAATCATTGCACTGGCACAAACCCAGAAGATGACAACACTGGAAGTGATTAGGACCTCGGCAGTGTGGTACTGTCATAGGATGTGCGTCCCTGCACATGGGCATTAAGTCGTTTGTGAATAAGGTTGCTGACCCACAATAGCAGGATTCGCTCGCTGAAGTTTTCATTTTCCAGAATTCAGCATTCAGCAGAAAAACATTCAGCATTCTTTTATTGCCTTACATTTTTATAAAATAAAAGTGAGCGTGTAACCCCACAGATTTCTTAAAAACACGTAATTCCTAAATGTCCAAATTTCTCCTTTCTCTATCGTTTTTAGAGTGAAGCAAATGTGTTGTTTGTTTCTCCCTTTGAGTAACCTCAGACAAGGTTCTCAGCCTCAGTGAGGCTCGGTTCCCACACCTGTCGCATGGGGAAAATATAAATTTATTTATCTCAAGATCGTTGTGAAGATTAAGACAATATATCTGGAAGGACCCAGCACAGTGCCTGATTCAAAGCAGCCTCTCAATACTTGAGTCTTCTGAGCATGTTTGGTGGAAGGAAGGGTGATTATTTGGCAGCATGTTTTTTATTTCTGCCCCATGCAATATTTTTCCCCACTGATATTCACGCTACCATCTAGGGCCATGCAAGCAGAGGGCATGGTAAGAGTGAACTGGGCTCCTGCTATGTTCTTATGGGTCAGTGCTCCTGATATTACCGAGAACCGGGCCTGGGAGCGAGGGCTGAAGGGCTAAGGAGGGCATATCGACAGCAGTGATGAGAACAGTGCCACAGACCCGCTATTACGGTTTCTTTTCCTTGGTCTCAGACGTGAGCCCTCGAGTTACCTCTGTATACCCAAGCTGGGCGATGTCTCTCTATTTTAGACTATTATGCACACCCATCTGTTCTCAGAATCAGTCCTCAGAATAATCACCCATTGGGAAATGTCTGGAGCTCACCATAACAATAGATGCTCATGCCTAATGTCCCCAAAACAGGCGGCACAAACTAGCCTGCAGGCAGAGATGTAGAGCTGTGACCACCGCTAACCACTAAGTTGACCCCTCTATAATAGACACACCGATCCCTTTAGGCTCCACCACGATACCTAGGGCTCCCCTCCACCTCCCTGACAACCAGATTCACAGTTTATCTAGACTAGAGAGTCTCTGGGATTGGTAATCAGACATCTGGATTCAAACCCTCCATTGCTACTTACTGTAGCAATTGGGCAACTGAATTTCACGGACACTTAACTGTGTTGCCTGTAAAATGAAGCTAAGAACTCCCTTAAAAAGTAGCTGAAAAGGCCGGCCGAGTGGCTCAGTTGGTTAAGAGCTCGCTCAAGAGTGCGAGCTCTGAGCAACAGCGGTTTGATTCCCGGCCGGAGCTGGTGGCAGAATGGCTCAGCTAAAAAAAAAAAAAAAAGTAGCTGAAAGACTGAATCAGGTACGATAGGTTAAATGACCAGCCCAATGCCTACTTTCCATACTAACTTTAATGGAAGCTATTATCATGATTATCATCTACTCATCAAAAATATTGTTGTCTCAGTCAACCCAAATTGCTGGTGAGGATGAGGAACAATCCGAATTCTCATTCACTGCTGGGCCCACTTTGGAAAACTGTTTGGGCGCATCTACTAAAGCTCAACATGTACCCACCCACCCTAAGAGCCCAAAAGCCCACTCCACGAACCCAAAGGAGAAGCGAGCATGTGCTCACCAAGGGGCTTGTCCTAGGATTGGCATCGCAACACATTCCTAATGTAGTCTCATAGCAACTGTATTCGCAATAGTTAAACACTGGGAACAACCTGAGTATCTAGCAACTATAAAATGGGTAAATTACATCAGCTTTGCCTCCTTTTGTTAAATACTACATAAAAATGAAAAAGAATGAACTAGTGCTACATGCAACAGTGTAATAACATAGATGCATCTCACAGACATAATTTTGAGGTAGAGAAGCCAGACAGAAAAGAGTTCATCTTATGTGATTCCATTTATGAATGAAATTCAAGAAGATAGACAAGGTAATCCGTGGTGTAGGAGATCAGGTGAGTGGTAACCTTGGCAAGGGGTTATAGCTGACGGGGACATAGGTTGTGGGAGGCTAGATAGTGTCTGTTTTTTGACCTGTGTTCTAGTTTCATGGCTGTTGTAGGTTGAATTGTTTCCCTAAAAATACGTATGGTGAAGCCCTAACCCCCAGTTCCTCAGAATGTGACCTTTTTTTGGAAATAGGGCCTTTACAGAGGTAACCACGTTAAAATGAGGTGACTAGTGTGAGCTCTCATCCAATGTGACTAAGTGTTTCAAGGAAAGGGGCGAATCAGAGTACAGAGGCAGACACACAGGGAAAATGCCATGTGAACCCGAAGACAGAAATTGAAAAAAATCCAAAACATTGGGGGCTATGTTTGCCGCAGTTACGACAGCAAAATATTTGTATTCCTACTAAAAAACTCTTGCATATGCATTTTAAAGAACTAAAATTATATAGAACAAGTTGACACAGGATATAAACAGGGTACACCAGAGAAGAAATTAAAAGATTAATGAAGAAATGAAAAATGTTCAATAGAACCAGAAATCAAAGAAATGCAAATTAAAACAAGATATCATTTTTCACTTGTCAAACTGGTATTCCTTATTTTTAAACAATAATATCTCGGGCTGATGAATCTTCTGTGAGACTGACATTCTCATCAGTTGGTGATAAGGGTAATAACAACAGACATTGAAATGCTTGGTGTATTGTACGTCAGATACCATGCCACATGCTTGGCGTACGTACTCAAGTGCATCTGTAGTCAAATACCTCATTTTTCTCATCACAACCACCCCATGAGGTAAGTATTATTTTTCTCACTTCCAGACAAGGAATCTGTGGCTCAACAAAATTAACTGGTGCAGGGTCACTCAACCAGTAAATGGTAAAGGTAGAATTTGAACATTTCTCCACTGCCAGATGCTGAGATTTACTGCCTCTGAGAGTGTAACTTGCTGTGTTTTTTCCTTGAAAACAATTTGACAATATGCATCAACTGCCCAAAAAGGTACAGAAACATTGACCTACTAACTAAATCTCTACGAATCTGTTCTTATGATAGAAACAGAAATGTCAACAGAGATTTAAGTACAAGGATGTTCATTCTATCACTTATACTACTGGAAAAAAATAGAAAGAACCTACACCACAATAGAAGTAGACTTAAGTAATTTAAGGTACATCTATCTACAACATGGGATAGGCTACAGCTATAAAACATGTTTCTGGAAAAAAAGTTAGAAAGACACATGCATAAAGCTGCTCATTGCAGCACTATTTGTAATAGTAAAAGACTGGAAATCTCCACAATATCTCTCTGTAGGGGACTGGTTGAATAAACTATAAACACCTATGTAATTGTGACAATTAGCCATTAAAACCCCCCACAGTTACACT